AATATATGCATATAATACTCCCATACATACTTAACAACCAGAAATCAACAGTTAGAAAATAAAAAAATAAAAAAAAATTATATACAAAAATATAAATAAAACATGTACAATTTTGGTTCTGTGTGTAAAAAAATTGCCACTGAAAATTGAAAAACTCAAAATGGGTGATCCTTTGCACAGCTCTTTTTTTTTTTTTTTTTTTTTTTTTTCTCCTCTTTATCTTTGCACAAGTTAATAGATATGATAGATTTTAAACAACTGTGTGTGATTTTATCACTCAAATCAAATTGATAAAATAATTATACTTTTTCTATAATATTTTCACAAAGAAACTTTTTTATCCATTTTTTTTTTTTTTTTTTTTTTTTTTTTTTTTTCATATTTTTATTTTATATTTAAATTTTTTTTTTATTTTATTTAATTTTTACTTTTTTTTTTTTACAAAAATTACAATTATATATCATAACACTCTAAATTGATTGATTTTTATATTAAAAACAATAATAATTAAAATAATAAACCGATAAATTTTTTTTTTTTTTTTTTTTTTTTTTTTTTTTTGTTAGCTATTTTTATTAAAATAGTTTATATGTAAAATATATTTTTTTTAGGACATAAATGTAAGTATGGAAAGAGAAAAAATAAAAATTATAGTGTATAAAATTGGTGAGGAAAAATTGGATTTTTATTTAAATTTTTTTTTTTTTTTTTTTTTTTTTTGATTAGCCAAAATTAAATTGAAATTATCGAAATAAATATGACGCATTTTTACGACATAACACATAATATTATTTAACTTTACTATTTTCTCCTTTTTTCTTTTAAAATTATTTCAAACACAAACTCCCACTATAATATTGTGTACAAATAATTAAAAATGCTTTTTTTTTTATTTTTTTATATTTATTATTGTTATTTCTAAATTCATTAACCCATTCAACTCACCAACCCACACTAACAATAATTAAATAAATAAATATTTAACCCAACCAAGCACATAAAAATCACACCCCTACATATCCATAAAAGTTTTTTTTTAAAAAAAAAAAAAAAAAAAAAAAAAAAAAATTAAAAATTAAAAATTAAAAATTAAAATTAAAATAATTCATCATCTATTGTAGACAGATATGATTTCATCATTTTACCACATTATCTATAAATTGCTTTTTTCATATAATCTTAAATAAAAATATTATTTTTTAATAAAAATCTCACCCTCACACTCTATTAATCCCATCCAAATTCATGGAGAAATAATAATAATAATAATAATAATAATAAAAATAATAAAAATAATAAAAATAATAATAATAGTAATAATAATAATTTTAATTAACCCCAACCATGGAAATTCATTTCCAAAATAAAACAACAAACATTCACTAGTGTGATAGAACCACAAAATGGTAAAAAGTTGTTAAAAGGTTAAACTAACAACAAGAAAAAAAATAAAAATAATATGAAAAAAAATGAAAATAATTATTAATAAAAAATAAATAAAAAAATAAATTAAAAAAAATAAAAAAAAAAATTTTTGAAATTAAACAAAAAACGACATGAATAACTCACATACTTCATTCATATCTTATTTCTACATTTTCATTTTTAATATCATAAAAAAAAAATTTTTAAAAAAATAAAAATTATAATATTAAAAAAAAATTAAAAAAAATAGATTTAAAAATAAATTGTATTAATATATATATATATATAATAATTAAATAATTAAATCTAACCACATAGATAAACCACACTAACCACATACTCCTTTGCAATCAAACCTCTCATTTAAAATAAAATCAATAACAAAAATAAAAATAAAAATAAAAATAAAAATAAAAACAAAAATAATAATCATTATTGTATATTAAATTAAAATAAAAAAATATATATTATTATTTTAATTAAACTTTTAAATAAAAAATATATTTATTTTATTTATTTCATTTATTTATATCATTTTCCACCCACTCCCCCCCCCCTTCTAGTACTACTAGTATTACTATAAAAACAATTATCATATCATAAAACTAACACAAATAATATAGATAATCAACTAAACCAGCAATAGTCAATATTTATATTTTGTATAGTATTAAAATTTTAAATTAAATATTAAATATTTTTTTCGTTTAAATCATTAGTATTAAACAAAGTTAGTAATAGTTTAATTATTTTTAAAAAAAAAAAAAAAAAAAAAAAAAAATAGTGTCACCCACAATATCAATGGATTTTTTTTTTTTTTTTTATAAATATATCTTTTCCAAAAAAATATTACTAAATCACTATTTAAAAAAAAAAAAAAAAAAAAAAAAAAAAAAAAAGAGATTGGAGGTTATGATTATTTTTTTAATTTTTTTGTTATATTGATATAATCTTTTAAAATAAAACTAAAAATGCCATAATTGTTGTTGGTTTTTTTTTTTTTTTTTTTTTTTTAAATTAATATTTTCTATTTTAAATTTTTGGTAATTTTAATAATTATTTTATTTTTATTTTATTTTATTTTATTTTATATTTTTTTGTGGTTAAGCCAAAGTTAATTAAAAAAAAAAAATTCCAAAATTGGAAATTATTATTATTTTTTTTTTTTTTTTTTTTTTTTTTTTATTTTCAATCAAAAATTATTTTAAAAGCTATAAATATATATAATAATAATAATAATAATAATAATAATAATAATAATAATAATAATAATAATAATAATAATAATAATAATAACAATAAAGTCAAAATATAAATAAAAAAAGTATAAATTTAAATTTATTCTACTTGTTTCCTTTTTAAATATAAATCATAGTATACTCTATTTTTAAAAACCTTAAATTTTCGAAATCAAAAATATAAATCAAGTAATTTTATTTTATTCTCTTTATAATCTAGATTTATAAAAATAATTTGTAAATAATAATAATAATAATAATAATAAAGAAAAAAAGATTTTTTTCAATTTTCGATTTAATTATTTATTGTTAAAATATACTAAAAAAATAATTATTTTCATCATTTTTACAAAAAAAAAAATCTCTCTCCCCCTCTCTCCCCACAACCCACAAAAACATTTATGTCACTCGCGCACACGAATTATTTTGTTTTATCAATTCACCACCCCATTATAAAATAAAAATCCCAACTCAAAATTTTGTTTTGCTAATAAAAAAAAATCATAATAATAATGTTTATAACAATATTTTTTATTGGGATTTTTTTTTTTGATTTTTTTAAAAAAAATTTTAGTAAATGTGGCTTATATTATACTTTTACTAATTATTATTTTTATTTTAAAATATCATTTTATTAGTAAATAATATTTTTAAAAAACAACAAGTAAAAACTAAAAGAAATAATATATCTCAAATAAGGAAATTAATTAAATAATTAAAAAAAAAAAAAAAAACAAAGATTAAATAATAAAAAAATATAGGAAAAAAAAAAAAAAAAAAGAAGAAAAAAAAAAAATCAACCTTTTTTTTATTTTATATCATCAATCTATTATAAAATCATTTAATTTTTTTGGTTATATATATTTATATATATAATTTAATAATATATAGAGTATCATTAATGGAAGTATCAACAGAAAATTTGTATAATAATAATAATAATAATAATAATTTTAATAATAAAGAAATAAATAATAATGATAATAATAATAATAAAAATAATAAAAATAAAGATCAAAATTGGGTGAAAATTGATCAATCTGAAGCACCAAATAAATTCATTCAATATGTAGATGAAGCATCTAAACAAGATCAAGTATGTACTAAATATAATTATTTTTTATTTTATTTAAAAATATATAATATTAATTTATCCTATAATTTTTTAAATAAAAAAATAAATAAAAAAGATAATAGCACATACAAGATATTCTACAAGACAATTATATTTACAACCAGGTCAAAAAGTAATGGATTGTGGTTGTGGAGCTGGAAAAGATTTAGGAAGATTAGAATCAATAGTGGAAGGTAATGGTATTGTTGTTGGAATGGATATTTCAAGAGAAATGGTAGAATGTGCAAAAAGTAGAATGTCCCATTTACCAAATGTAAAAATCTTTATTGGTGATGCAGCTCGTATTCCAATTGATGATAATTATTTCGATGCGTATGTGATTTCTAAATTGGAAAAAAAAAAAAAAAAAAAAAAAAAAAAAAAAAAAAATACTAATATTTTATTTATTAATTATTAAATAAATTCTAGAATAAGATGTGAAAGATTATTACAGCATGTAATTAATCCAGATTTAGTAATTAGTGAAATGACAAGAGTTATAAAGAGTGGTGGTAGAATTGTTATAACTGATGCAGATTGGTCATCTACATCTGTGTCAATTCCAAAGAATATTGAAGAAATTAATAAAAAAATATTAAACGATGTCGTTTTTAATGCTCATCCAACAATTGGATTACATCTTAGAGGAAGAATGGCAAAGAATTCACAATTGGAAAATTTGGAAATATTTGCCCAATGTCTATACACCGATAGTTTAGCAATGGCCGATGAATTCGTTTGGTTAGGTGAGAGAGGTAAAATGGCATGTGCTCAAAAACTAATCACCGAAGATGAATATAATTTCTGGAGAGAAACTTTAGAAAAAATGGATGAAGAAGGTAGTTTTGTTTTCACTATGAATATTTTTACTGTTAGTGCTTCAAAAAAATAATATTACATTTTATTTTTTAAAAATAGTAACAAAAAAAAAAAACACAACCAAAAAAAAAAAAAATACTTTATACAACCAACAATGAAAAATAGACTCGCTTAATCTTTTATAAATAAAGAAAAATAATAATAAATCTCAAAATTGCTTTTTTTTAACTAGAAAATTAAATATTTTATTAAATTTATTCATTGTTTTTTTAAAAAAATAATTATATATGGCAAGAAAAATAAAAATCTATTATGTTAAAAGAAGGAAAGAAAAAAATATATTAATAACGGTTTTAAATTTTTTTCTTTGGTTTGACAATTGGCTCGATGTTGTTTAAAGTAAATCAGAGACAATAAATGATCGATCAAAGCTAGAGACGAGAACACAAATGATGTCTGCTAGTTCATACGCAAATTACGTTCATCACTTGAAACCTTAAACAACAAAGAAGCAATGGATTTTAATGAGCAGTTTTTTTTTTTACATACCTCAAATAATAAAAATAAGAGGAGGAATTACTTCAAAATAAAATAAAGAACTGGAGAAAAAAAAAAAAGAATATTAATAAACATACTATATTATTATTTTTTTTTTTTTTTTTTTAGTTTTTGTAAAGGGCAAGGAAAAAAATATTTGTTTTTTTAATGTTGCTTCAGATGTTAGTTTAGGTAGCTTGGGTTTATCAACAGGTCAACTTTCTAACAAATGCCATTTTTTTCATCACAACAACATTAATTCAACATTTTTTTTCCTTTTTGTGTGAAAATATTATTAAAATTTTATAAAAAACTTACACTCAAGCTTGATGGTGAATGAAAAAAAAAATAATAAAAAATTTTTTTTTTGGTTTTTGTACTGAAAAAAAAAAAAAAAAAAAAATTTAAAAAAAAAAAATTTTACTTTTTTTAAAGAGTTCGTTCGGTTTGGCAAACCGAGGTCACGTGACAAATTTTTTTTAAAAAAAAAAAAAAATATATATATATATTGCAGAGGTTAAAAAATAAATCTAATATTTATAATTGTTTAGTATTTAGTAATTCGATAAAGATAAATATATACACACATTATTTAAATAAAAAACCTATAGATATTTAATTTTGTTTTTTTTTTTTTTTTTTTTTTTGTTTTTATTATTTTTTTTTTTTTTTTTTTTTTGCTTTTTTTCTTTTTTAATTTTTTAATTTTTTAATTTATGTTTTTATAAAAGAAGCATTATAAATACGGTTCTGATATGCATTTGATTTTCTTTAATTAAAGAATTTTTATTTAATTTTTTTTTTATTTTTATTTTTTTTTTTTTTTTTATTTTTTTTTTTTTTTATTTTATTTTTTTATTGTTTTATTTTTTTTTTTTTTTTATTTTTCATTTTTCACTTTTCGTCAGTACGTTCTTTTTTATTTTTTATTCATAAAAATTACAATATTTTTTTTATAAAAAAAATTACTGATTTGTTAATATACATAAAATAGTTCACATACATACATACATACATACATACAACATACATTTATAATCTAATAATAATAAAAATAATAACAATAATAAAAATATAATAATAATAATAATAATAATAATAATTTTATATACATATATAAGTAAATAAACTAAATAATAAATAATGTCATCTAAAAGAGGAGGTAGAATTGTTTCAAGAGGAGGTAGAGGTGGAAGAGGTAGAGGTGGTGGTAGAGAAACCACTAGAAGACATGTTAATATAAGAAGTGGAGGTAGTGAAGCAATGGGTGACGATGGTGGTTTCCCAAGAATCTGTATAAGCAATTTACCAAGAACAGTAGATAAATCAGATTTAATGGAGTTTTTAAAATCAAAATCATATCAACCAAACATGAGTTTTAAAGGAGTATTTATTATCAATTTGGGCACATTTTTAAAAAAAAAAAAAAAAAAAAAAAATATTATTACAGTCATTCTAATTATTATCATTATTTATTATTACTAGTTTGAATTTAAAAATACAAAGCTTTATTTAGCAGTTGAAAGTTCAGAAAATATACCAGCACTAGTTTCATTAACAGGTATAAGATATGGAGGTGTGAAGGTAAGATATCGATATTTTTATAAGATATCTTTTTTTTCTTCTTTTAAAGCAAAAGAGTTTGTTTATTAATATGACTTTATTATTTATTTTATATAGCTTATAGTCGCACAAGAAGACTCAAACTCAGTATCACAAAATAGAGTTGTATCACAAAATAATAAATCGTCACAAAGACAATTATTTAAAGAAACACAAACCAAACTTTCAGCAAACAGACAATTAAAACATATAGAAGAACATATCACCAATACATATACGAATAATCCAAATCAAGAAGTTGTTGATTTTTCATATTTACACTCAACAAAAGAATTGGACTTTAACGATCACAAAACATTAAGACAAGTATTTCGTTTAATCTCAGAAAAATGTGAAAAGGTATACATCTGTCAAATTTAGTTTTATATTCTCATCATTTGTTATCATATACATATTTTGTTTTATTATTATTATCATCATCAATTGATCCAATTACTCAAATCGATCAATCACAATCACAATCAGCGTCGGTCAATAATATTTCGCATATATCAAGTGTCGTTTTTCTTTCTTTTTTTTTTTTCTTTTTTATGAGGAAAAAAAAAAAAAAAAAAAAAACCTATTTTGACAACATAGTAGTGATAATGATGATATGAATGTTTGGTAGATGAATGGATGAGTGCCACAATTACAGTCTGTCAATCACAAATTCATTTTACAAACCCAAGAGGGTGGTTAGTTTATGTTTTCACATGACTACATATTATATAACTTATCAACATTTACTGCTTTTACGTATTCCCTTTGTGTTTTACTTTGTTCAACAAACTACACTACAATCTTGGGTTTGGTGAACCAACACACTTTCAATAAAATACTATTTTTTTATCATATAAGATAGTACAGACCAAATCAAATCGTAGTAATAATAATAATAATAATAATAATAATAATAATAATAATAATAATAATAATAATAATAATAATAATAATAATAATAATAATAATAATAATAATAATAATAATAATAATAATAATAATAATAATAATAATAATAATAATAATAATAATAATAATAATAATAATAATAAAGTAGTAATAATAGTAATATTAATAACAATAAAGTAGTTAAAATAATAATAGTCATCATAATATGAAACTAACATAAAAACAATATCAACTTTTTTCATCTATTTTCAACAACAATAACAACAACAATCAATCATTCATTCATTCATTCAAATCAATTAATCATATATGACTTCAATATATTGTTTACTTGTTTGTTTGCATGCTTGCTTATTGTTTGTTACCCTGGCCTATTGATTTGTTTTGATATTACTAATCTCATTTCTTTATACAACCATTACTATTTCTTTCTCCTTTCTATCACTTTTTTTTTCTTTTCTTCTTTCTATCCTTTTTCATTATTTTTTTTTCTTATAGGCGATTACAGTTTCATTTTCACATAATAATATAAATTCATTATCATCATTCAAATTGATGATTAGATATTCATTGGATCATGTTATAAATTTTAATTTTGATTCAAATAAAATCTCTGATATTGGTGAATTGGATAATCTTACTGATTTATCTTTAAGAGAATTAGTCTTTACAAACAACCCAATTTGCCAAAATATAAATTATAGAATGTAGGTCATGGTAGAAAATAAAAATAATAAGCATAAGAATATCAAAAACGAATATAATAATAATAATAATAATAATAATAATAATAATAATAATAATAATAATAATAATAATAATAATAATAATAATAATAATAATAATAATAATAATAATAATAATAATAATAATAATAATAATAATAATAATAATAATAATAATAATAATAATAATAATAATAATAATAATAATAATAATAATGATAATAATGATAATAATAATAATAATAATAATAAACCAACGGCAAGACAAATTTTCTAATAATGAGATTAAAATTTTTTTTGGCAGGGATGTTGCAAAAAAATTTCCAGATTTATTAATTCTTGATGGTAAACCAATTGGACCAGAAGATTTTCCACCAAGTCCAATTCCACCATTAAGACCAAATTATTGTGATAGCCAAGAAAGACAACAATTCGCATTTAGATTTTTAGAAAAATATTTCACAACCTTTGATAAGTCTAGAGAAGAGATAATTAAGGCTTACACCGAAGAATCAAAATTCTCTATGACCTTTGCGGCTGATACTAGCACCTTACCACTACGTGGATCTACTAAAGCCTATCAAAGAAATAATAGAAATTTAATGAAGATCACCGATAATAGTATGTATAATTTTTAAATAGTCTTTTTTAAGAAGAGGAATGGTAGTTCTATCCTTCATATATTAACCATCATTCATTTTTTTTTTTTCAAATTTACCTAGTTAAGAAAACCCAATTATTATACTCAGGATATGATAACATATATAACTTTTTCAAAATTTATCCGGTTACATCTCATTATTTAGCCTCTTCGGTTATTGATACATTTTTGGCTCCTGGTTCACAAGTAAGTTTTGCTTTAATTTAAATTATTTTCCATAGTTCTTTAAAGAATACTAATCGAAAAAAAAAAAAAAAAAAAAAAAAAAAAAAAAAAAAAAATTTATTAAATGTTGTTATTCATGGTCATTACCTTGAAACATTATTTAATTCCAAAAGGTCATACGATAGAACATTTATATTAGCACCATCACAACCCGGATCCGAAGCCGCAAAAGGTGGATGGGAAGCAATTATATTGAATGAACAACTTAATGTAAGACCTTATGTTAGACTTCCAAGATTAGAGCCTGTCACCCAACCAATAGCCAATATAACAGTGCCAGTTGGTACTGAAATGGAAACTTTAATCAATGATTTTGCAGTTTACACAAAATTGAAACCAGAATTTGCAAAAGAATGTTTATCACTCTCTGGTTGGGATAAATCAAAAGCATTAGAAACTTTCCAAAATCTTAAGGTGTGTAAAAAAAATCTCCTTTGTTTTAATTTAATTATTAATAATCATAACTCAATATTAATATTTCATTCTATCATTTAACCTACAGGCAAATAGTCAAATTCCAGCAGATTATTTTGTTGTTTGAGAGGGAAGAATAAAATAAAACAAAAATAACAATAAAAAAAAAAAAAAAATAAAAACTTAAAACCATCTTTTGGTTTGGTCTTCATTTACTATTTAAAATACTCTTTTTTTTCATAATTTTATTTGAATTTTATTATTAATATATTTTAAAAAACATTCATATAAAAAAATGAAACAAAAAAAAAAAAAAAATTATTTGGCGTCATACATTAAATTGAATAAAAGAAAAAAATGTAGAAACAAAGTATTAGGATTTAGATAATGAAAAGGTTTTTAGTAAATAAATTTTA